TTGTGTTTTTGAAACCATTAGTGAAAAGGCCAGACTTCAGGGGTATCTGAGGCAGGCTTGAAACACAAGAGTCAGGGTGGCTTCTGGGTAATACCAGATGGCTAGGCCTCAGACTGACGAAGCCTCTTGGATGAGGGGCGAAACGTTTCTTTTTAACAAAAAAACGAAGTCCAGATGACATGATTCAACCTTTTTTGTTGTTATATACCTGGATGACTGAGAAAACAAACTTTGCATTCAGTTGAAGGTTTATTTGGAATCATTGAGAATAAATAGTTTATTCTCGGCAGGACCATCATTTTTACTGAGGCAACTCTTCCCATAAGTGATATGGGCAGATATTTCCATCTAGTAAGATCATCTTCAATGTGCTTTAAAATTGGGATATGATTCAATTTTATTAAGTCTTCCAATCTAGGAGAAATATTAATGCCCAAGTATGTAATGTTACCTGATTGTAGTTGTTCATTGAGAGAAGAATTAAACACGCAGTTTATTGGAAGAGCTGTAGATTTTGACCAATTTATAGAATAATCAGAAACTTTTGAGAACAAGTTTATTAATTCGATAACATTAGATATTGAGTTTTCTGTGTTCTGAAGAAAAAGTAAAACATTGTCAGCATAAAGACTAATTTTATGTTCTATATTTTTACACAGTATACCTTTAATATCAGCAGTTTGTCTTATTGCTGCTGCTAAAGGTTCAATAAAAATAGCAAATAGCGCTGGTGAAAGTGGACATCCCTGCCTGGTCCCCCTCTGTAAACAGAAGCTTGAAGATATTTGATTATTTGTCCTGACACATGCTCTTGGTGAGCTATATAATAGTTTTAACCAATTAATAAAATGGTCCCCAAAACCAAATTTACCCAAGGTAGCAAATACAAATTTCCAGTTTACCCTATCAAATGCTTTTTCTGCGTCCAAAGACAAAATAGCTATTTCAATATTTTTACTATATGAATACTCTATTAAATTATATAATCTGCGTGTGTTTGTGGTCGAGTGTCTTCCTTTTATGAATCCAGTTTGGTCAGGATGAATAATGAGAGGAATTATTTTCTCTAATCTTTTAGAGAGGACTTTACTAATTATTTTAACATCCACATTAATGAGATGGGGCGATAACTGGTAGGTAGTACTGGGTCTTTGTCTGGTTTTAATAGTAGACTAATGTTGGCTGAATTCATATGTGTTGGAAACCTGCCATTTTCTTCTGACTCATGTAGCATTCTGTGAAATATAGGTTCCAGGATGTTCCAGAACTCTTTATAAAATTCTGCTGGATATCCATCTGGGCCTGGAGATTTCTTATTAGGCATGTTTTTAATGGCTTCACGGAGCTCATCTGATGTTAATGGTGAGTCTAGTTCTGATGATTGACTACTGTCTAGTTTTGGAAGTATTACTCTCTCCAAGAATTGATTAATATCTTCATCTTTTGGATTTATTTGTGGAGTGTATAGAGTTTTATAGAAATCTCTAAAAACACTATTTACTTTTTCCTCGTCATAAGTTATGTTACCATTTGTGTCTTTAATACCATATATAGGCGTTTTTTCTTTATTTAATTTGAGTTGATTAGCTAAAAAGCTCCCTGATTTATTACTGTGTTCTAAATTTTCTAATCGAAGTCTTTGTACCAAGAATGTGTTTTTTTTGTCAATACATTCATTTAGTTCTAATTTTATCTTGCATAGTTTTTTCTGTGTTTCCTCTCCTTGTAAACTTCCAAATAATTTCATAGATTTCTCTAATTCGTCAATACGTTTATTTTCTTTTTTCTTTTTGTTTGTTGAGTAGGATATTATTTTCCCTCTCATAACTGTTTTCCCAGCCTCCCAGAGTGTACATGCTGATGTTCCTGGCAAGTCATTAAACTCTAAATACGATGTCCATTCATTTTTAAAGTATTGTATAAATTCTTCATCCATAAGCAGTGAGGTATTTAATCTCCAGTTTATACTTTTTGGGATTTCTTTCTTATTATCTAAATTTAAAGTAACTGGTGCATGATCGCTGACAGCAATAGGCTGTATCTTAGTGTCTGAAATGTTGGTCAGCAATGAGTTGCTGATTATAAAATAATCCAGACGAGAGTAAGAGTGATGCACATGTGAAAAGAAAGAATACTCTTTACTATTAGGGTGAAGAGACCGCCATGCATCGCCGAGTCCATAATCACTCATGTATTGTTTAACTACATTTATGGATTGCCAACTATGTTGAGCTCCTACTGCATTCAGCTTGTCTATTTTGTTATCTAGACCAAAGTTAAGATCACCTCCAAGTACCAGCGAGCAATCCATGTGATTTCATAAGAGTAGAAAAGAGATCATGAAAAAAAGTGGCATCGTCCACATTTTGCCCATATAAGCTAACAATACAATATTTTTGACTGGGTATAGATAATTTTAATATTATATATCTACCTTGCGGGTCTATAACTGTGTCTAATATTGTGAAGTTTACATTTTCATGTATTAATATTGCTACTCCTCTTTGTCTTGAGTTATAGCAGGCTGAGAATACATCAGGAAACTCAGGAGATTTTAGCTCATCCACAGTTGATGGTAATTTATGAATTTCTTGGAGTAATACAACATCTGCCTTTAATCTGTTAATCTGGTTAAAGATTCTATATTTTTTATGTTGGCTACTGGCTCCATTAATATTCCATGTGACAAACCTTAAGATGCCCATACTTGTGCTTGTGAAAATATAATTAAACCACACCCATTATCACAAATATCAAAAATAGTAAAACACCCAGACAATAACATAATCCTTAATGATTGATTATTTATGATTTATAGATAAACTAAGTGCTGTTTTGAAGGTAAATCATGGATGTATTCCTTTATGAGGTATTTGTATGTATGTATATGGATATATATAAGCCTTTGTGGCTGTGTGCTAATAATTGTTGAGTCAGAAAAATAGAGACAAAAAAAGAAAGGGAAATGATAATAAACACGTAAAGATAAAAGAAAGAAGAAAAAATAAAAAAAGAACCCCCTTACCATATTAAGTGCCATGCCACCGTGTACCACCACTATCTGTGTAACCCACCAACCGAGCTGTGCTGAACAATTACATATATATCTGGTAAGTAATATGAATATATATTATTGCTAATAAATTTTAAGTAAAATTAGCAACTGAAAATCATACTTACCTTATTTATATTACTAATAGAGCCAGGGAGTAACCTCTGGATCTCTAAACAGCTGACTGTTGATGTAAAGTTTGTCCACAGCCACCGTAGTTCTTCTGCCCTCGTTTATATTTTTCTTCCTAATCGGGAACAGAACGCGCCTTCTACTCAGAATTTCTGCAGGGAATTGGTCATTCATGCTGTAGTTCGTGTCACGCAGTTCCCTACCTCGGCTTTTTACTTGTTCTTTCTATTTATAATGTTCAAATTTAGCTACAATCAGCCGCGGCCGATTGCTTCCAAGTTTTTTACCTCCGAGGCGGTGGACTCGGTGAAAAGTGATGGAATTAACCGCGTCACTTGGTAACTTCAGTTGATTCTGAATGAAGTCACGGACAGAGGCCTCAGGGACCTCGTCCGCTCGCTCCGGGATTCCCGAGAAGACGAGGTTGTCCCGCATGCTCCGGGCTTGGATATCCAGGATTGATTCTTTTATTTTTTTATTATCCCCGGAGAGCAGCGTCATCTCCTCGGTGAGTTGTTTTACTGTTCCTCTCAGATCCTGATTTTCACTAGCAAGTAATGCTACCTGTTGTTGGCTGAATTCTAAAGACTCCCTGAGGCCTTGAAACTCTTTAAACAGCATCTCTACCAACGCTAGTCGGGCGTCCAAGCTAGTTAGCTTCTGGTCAATTGATTCTAATATCTCCTTTAAGCCTGTATTATCAGGAGGCGGTGTCGTAACGCTATCTGAGCTTCCCTGTCAGTGCCGCTTAGCGGTGGGGATGTTAGCTGAATCGCTAGCAGAACCGGATGTATCTTTGGGTTTACCCATGACTAAGCTGTCAAAACACTCGTCAACAAACAATTCCAGGCTCTCCAAAGTCTCCTCGTCCAGTTTGCTTGATTGAATGAAAAAGTTAGTTAGTAATATTTAGGACTTTCTTAATGATCTTATATTTAATTAAACAGTTTTTATTTAAATAAATACGGACTTACCAAAGTTTTATCATAATACTCACGCACAGTTTTTTCCTAGTTCTCAGCAACAGCTCATTGCACCGCAAAAAAAAAAAACTACACTAGATAATCACTAGAATAAATATTTCATAATAATGGTGTGGAGAGGATGGCTGTAAGGGGAGAAGGGAGGCCATCTATAAAAAAAATGAATCTGTTGGACTTCTGGCAAGGACCAACGCAGACATGTTCCTGTTTTTTGCTTTCTACATTCGCCTTATAATCTAGCTGTTTTTGTTACTTTTTTGGCCATCTTATTTGTAAAAAAATAATAATCTGTATGCCTTTTTATAACTGTCTATTGTTGTAGCTCTTGTCCACTGTTGTCGTCATTCTTTGTTGAAATCAGGTCTCCCTTGTAAATGAGTCCTTGAGGCTCAGTGGGATTAACCTATCTAAATAAAGGTTGAATGAATGTATGTTAGGCTGACTGACTTCTTTTCCACTGGAACATCAGGCAAGATGGCGGACATCGAGGTCAAAAAGAAGCGTACCTTCAGGAAGTCCACCTATGGAGGTGTGGACCTGGACCAGCTTTTGGGCATGTCTTACGAACAGCTTATGCAGCTGTTCCGTGCCCGTCAGAGGAGGATGAACCGTGGCCTCTGCCACAAGCACCAGTCCCTTCTCAAGCGCCTGCGCAAGGCTAAGAAGGAGGCTTCTCCTCTGGAGAAACCAGAGGTAGTGAAGACTCACCTGAGAGACATGGTCATTCTTCTAAAGATGGTTGGCTCCATGGTTGGTGTATACAATGGCAAGACATTCAACCAGGTTGAAATCAAGCCTGAGATGTGTGGGCACTACTTGGGAGAGTTTTCCATCATTTACAAACCAGTCAAGCACGGTCACCCTGGTATCGGAACCACACACTCTTCTCGTTTCATCCCTCTGAAGTAAAATGGCTGTATCATTTGTATAAATAAATAAAGTAATTGGGGTTTCCTTTAGGGCAGCACGGTGGCGCAACTGGTAGAGCTGCTGCCTCTCAGCGAGCAGGTCCTTGGTTCAAACCCCGGTCCAGGGGCCTTTCTGGGTGGAGTTTGCATGTTATCTCCGTGCATGCGTGGGTTTTCTCCGGGTACTCCGGTTTCCTCCCACAGACCAAAAACATGCATGTTAGGCAGATTGGTAACTCTAAATTGTCCCTAGGTGTGAGTGAGAGAGTGAATGGTTGTTTGTCTCGTTTGTCTCTATGTGGTCCTGTGATGGACTTGCGACCCGTCCAGGGTGTACCCCGCCCCTCGCACAGTGATTGCTGGACATGGGCACCAGCGACCCCCGTGACCCAAAATGGAATAAGCGGGTAAAGATAATGGATGGATGGATGGATGGATGGGTTTCCTTTAAAAAAATAAAATAAAATTGGAAAACAAATAAATAAAACTTTTTCCTTTTCAAGCGACTATCATTGCAACAGAAAACATGAATATTGAATTGATAACACAAAACCAATTCATTCATCACAAACTGGTACAACGTTCATGTAAGGATGGTACTTTTCTGTGGCCCGGTTTGTGTCTGTGTTTCCTCGTGCTCCCTCATTAGTTCCATTGTTACCACCCGTGTCTTGTCCCAGCTGTCTGTAATCATGTCTCGTCTTGTCTCTGTATATAAGCCGTCTGTTCTGTCTTGTTCATCGTCGCGTCGTACTCGTTGGGTCTCCTGTGTCTTCCCCTGAGTCTTCCTGGTTCCTTGAGTCCCCCGTGTCTCCTGAGTCCTCCTGAGTTTCCCGTACCTCCTTCCTATGTTCATGTAAGTTTTGCTGCCCCGTCAGCTTGTTATTTTGTACCTTTTATTTATCATTAAATTCCTATTTTTGTAATCCTGCCGAGTTGAGTCCCTGTTCTGCACTCTGGGTTCGCTCCTGACCACAAATCCTAACAGTTCCAGAATCTGCACCTCACATAACCCTAAAGGTAAATGAAGACTTTGAGTCAAAAGACCACATGTATGCACACACACACACACACACACACACACACACACACACACACACACAC